TCTCTTCCATCTGCTGAAGATCTAATGGTTGATTAGAGTTGACAGCAGAGAAACAAAAGCAAGGGGACGCTAACAGAAGGAGGCACAACAATTAGCACACGAGCAAGGTGAGTGTTTATCTGTTCTCGCTGCCACTCGTACCCCCCGTCCTTCTGCCGCTCTCGTGTCTGATAACTGATGAAGAACCGAAGAGCTCTTGAGTCAATCCAATAAACATGATCAATCATAACAGCTACATTAAGACATGCTGATTTAATTGCTTGACTTGTGCAGATAATGTAGTTTCTGAAAGACTAATGAGAATAGACTTTTTCATGCACGGCGAAAAAATATTTGTAGTGGATCAGGAAAAATGGAGAGGAAAGGTTGTTGAAACATTCTAATATTCCAACTTAATATGTACAGACACCTATAAGTAAGTCATTTGCTGGATGATTTGCGTGAAACGCAACTATCTGTTTGAATGGGCATCCCGACACAGCACTGGCCTAACCAATGGCGTGAGGTAGGGGGTGGGACTGACTTTTGGTCCAACAAATGGTAGATCAGAGGAGTATTCAGGAAACCTGTGCAAAAAAAAACAAAAAAAAAACAATCAATTTGCAATTCCATTTGATGATGTCAATGGTCATTTGATGATCTGCCATAGAAACACATTAACAAATGTCAGCTCAGCACAACTGTTCACTGACGAGTGCTGACTGAGACACACAAACTGAGGAAACCCCATGTACTGTTTTACTGAGCGATCATCAAAGACCATTAAATCAAGTGAGTGTCCACAGAGACAGGAAATTGAGGAGGGGATTACGATCTTTGCATGATGAGGAGGGGCAAGATTTATGTGTCATTTACCGAGAAGATTGTAAAACTTAATTACAGAAAGTTCCCTCACACGCACACACACTCACACACTCACACACACACACACACACACACACCCCTAACTGCACATAGAGCACTATTCATCTATACACACCCTCTCTCACATTCTCTCCATTTTTCCATTCCCCATTCATCCATCTATCTATCCATTGACCCTAAAAAAGCCCAGCCCTGGAAATAATGAACAATTAAATCATCAAGAATAGAAATGAAAGCAAAAAACTCAAGTTGTAACAGGCAGAACACCTACGTCAAGTCGGAGTGAACTGCCATTTGAAAGTTATTTTAATTTCACAATACAATGTATTTTCAATACATTCAATGAGGAAAAATGTGGGGCGGGACTTAATTTGTTCTATTAGGAATTGATTTGATTGTGAAAAGTGAGAGTTACACTACAGCTCAAAAGATTTCTTAGTAATTTTGGCAGAAGTCTCTTATACTCACTGAGGCTGTATTTATCTGATCACAAATACAGTAAATACAGTACAATTTAAAAGAACCGTTTTCTATTTTAATATATTTTAAAATCCTTTATTCATGTGATGGTAAACCTGAATTTTTAGCACCCATTACTCCAGTCTTCAGTGTCACATGATTCTTCTGAAATCATGCTGGTTTTGGTTTCCACAAAATGATTAAGCAGTAAAAACTTTGTGTTTTCATGTTTCATGTTGGTTCTCAACATGTTTCTTGAGCACCAAATCAGCATATTAGAATGCTTTCTGAAGGATCATGTGTTCTTTGAAACGGTAATAATAATTCACAATTTCAACTGTTTTTACTGTATTTTTGATCAAGTAAATGCAGCCTTGGTGAGCTAAAGATACTTAAAATTAAAAAACGTAAAAAGTCTTAATTCCTAAAAAATTTGAATGGTAGTTGGAGCCAGATTTAATGTGAGTCTGCTTAAACATTCCCTCAATAGCTACATGCTCATTGTCCAATAAGCAGCACATTTGAATAACATTACTAAGACAAACACTGAAACATTTGCAATGAGACCAAAAAAGTGCTTTAAAAAAAGTATATTGACTTTAATAGTTCAACCTCATTATGGTTCTCAAATGAAGAGTAATTCCTCCCAAACCTTGTCGGTTTGACAAACGTAAAGCGCTTACTCAAGGTGTATATAAAACTTGAGCAGGCTCTTTAGATGAACAGCATGCCCAGAACCTTTGCACCAGGCCTAATTACTCTAGTAGCTCTGAGGAGAGGGCGGCCCTATTTCTATTCATCCCGGCCGGCCTGAAAAACCCTGCACCAGATGTTTCTGAAAGGGGGATCTCTTTTCTTCTCTTCTCCCCTTCTTTCATAAGTCAGTGACTAACTTTTTGACCTCCCCTCCTTTCTCCTGCAGGTCTTGTGTGTAAGGGTCAGGGAGAGGTGGTGAGGTTATAGTGAGGTCGGGGCACATTCAATACAGCACCAACTGCACCTCCCCTCCCGGCCTCCTCCGTGCCACATCCATCTCTCCTCTCGTCTCTCTCCTCCCCCTGTTCATTCAGACAGCCCTGAAGAGCCACAGATGCCGTTCCCCTCTGTTTTCTGTAATTCATCTACAGGAGGGGGGACACAAAGAGGATGCTTGTCGGACCGAGAGGAAGAAATACGGCTCTCTCTACCTTTCCGCACAATACGACCAAACAATAAACACTGCTTGTGTACACACATCATGACAGAATAATGTGGCCATAAATACCAATACAGACACTCCCTCTCGTAACGTCTCTCCTTCCTACATACAGAGACACACACATCGTAATCATACTACACAGCTCTCGGCTATCAATTTGTTTTTATTTCGTAGTATCGATGTCAATAAAAGTTCAATATATGACACTTGCTTACTCCATTGGTAACACTTATAATACATTTGATGAAGTATTCGGTATCAGGAACTAACAATTATCAATTTTTAACAGCATTTATTAATCTTGGCTAATTTAATATTTTACTTTGTATCCACTATTAGAAATGGAGAAATGGTTAGAGATTTTTTATTTACATTTTTTTAAATCTCAAATTTTAAAATAATTTTTTAAAAGTGTTTTAGTGTTTTATTTGACAAAATACATTGGCCTTAACATGAACATAATGATCGGCTTATTAGTATCAACCATAACATTAATAATAAGTGCATCCCAAATTATCAGTTCACATGAATGCATCACCAGATGTATAATTTGTAATGTATGAAATAAATCTGCATATGTACAAAATAGCCTTGACCGAGATTAATAATTGCTGTAAAAGTCTTGTTCATTGTTAGTTCATGTTAACAATCGTGATGATTAATGTCGACATAACCTTTGCTGTAAAGTTTCACCACTCCAGAGCACAATCCAAGCATCTGTCACCAACATTTCCTCTTGTCCCGTGTATGAAACAATTGCTGCTTACATTGAAAGGTGCTGTCTGCTTCTGTGTAAACGCAACACAGCTGATTTACACAACCCAGGCAAAACTACAGCCCCGACACAATGAACGATGTTTAGATAGACCTTAAGGGCCTTCATACAACAGCTATATTTGTGCATGTACTGCTCGCTGATGTTATAAAGCAAATGGTATTAAGTCTGTTTTGCTCACTTCCATGATTTGTTAACAACACAAGGTGACTAATGGCATTTTAAGTGTCTCTCCATCAGTTTGAGCTTTACTACACCATTGGTCTGTGTAAATACTTCCACACATGCATGAACAATGACCTCGGCTCTGATTGGTCAGAGTGTTTGCTCTGATGGAGTGAGCGGTTTGGCTTGGTGAAGCACAGACTGAAAATAGCCAGGCCCCTGGCGTGGGTTTGAATCACTCATGCAGTTTATAGGGCACTGAACAGGTTTAATGAGCCACAGATAAATCTGATATTTCAGTCATTTCCCACAACACGCGGTCTCGATGCCTAATAACGACTTGGTTCATGATAGCACCTTATTTAAAGTCACTCCATTTAAGTACGAGCACAAACACTGGGTCCAGCTGCATGGATTCAGTGTAACTCACCTAGATTCTTGAAACTGTTGCTGTAATTACTGCATTTTGTACCTTAAAATAAACCAGGGTCTGCAGGCCTAAAATACAGAGGCCTGCTGTCCTGAAGCAGCCAGTTCCCCACCCATGAGCCGGGATGAGGTTAAACTCACAGCTTTTACCAACACTATGTGCACGCACATGTGCGCGAGCGCATATTAGCAATGGCAGTTTGTTATAGGGAGTCATCAGTAACTGTCCCTATGATGCCAGAAGCTTAATTAACCCTCTCTCTCATTAACACTCTCTCTATACGGCTCTCTCTCACCGGCTAACTCGCTTTCTCCCTCTCTCTCCACTCTAGTCTCGGCCAATTACTGAGCCCAAATGGAACAGCATTAATCAAATCTTTAGTGCAGCAGCATGCTTTGAAATATCAGATTACGCAGGGCTGCAAAACTAATATGTCACTGTCACCGAGCTCGCGCAGGCATTTAGAGGCTAGCATTAACAAGATGGCTAACGTCACGAGCGTCTGTGCGCTATGTGGAACGCTGCTCTAGGGGCCATTAGTAAGACAAGGAAGAGGATAGCAGAGGGTTCTGCTTTCACTCCGCGCTCATTTTTTATGCCCCCTTTCTTCTTCTCCTTCTCCTTCCTCTTTGTCTTCTGCTTCTCTTATTGTCCTGTCAAAAGGCTCGCGCCGCAGACGAGGAAGAATGGGCAAGACAAATGGCCCGGTGAGAAAGGCTCGAAGGAGATTAAGCAAAGGGAGGAAACGGAGGTCAGCGAAGGAAAGGAGTTGGTGCCGAAAGGAGGACAATGACGCAAAAAGCACGAGGAAGGAAAGAGGAAAAGATGAGTGAAATCTTGAGCGGATGGACGGACAGATTCCGGGTGGAAATGTGCTGACCTGTAGGCATGTGCACCTGGCATAACGGCTGCTTCTACGTGGTGTCAACACACTTTTCTCAGGGTGAAAAAAGAGAGAGCGAAGAAAAAAAGATGGCTCTGTGAGAAAAAAAATGTGCTGTTACACAGGGAGTTTGGGCGTGCTCTGTGGCAGGAGGCAAAATAGATGACAGTGTAATGATATTAAAAGCTCAAAGTTGTTAAGATGCCAAGTCAAGGCCCCATAAATCCAGCCAGGGCTCCCACTGCCTGTCCCCACACTGCGTAATTAAATCTGATTTATGAGGCGTATTACAGCAGTGAGAGATAGTTCATATTCCAGCTCTGCTTTATTAGACAGCCTGACAGGCGCCAAAAAATATTGTCGAAGTTGCCTCGGCCCTAGCCGCCAAAAAGCCTTGCTCCGCACTCTGTCTTTTGTTGTGTCAGTCCTCCCTTCCTGTGATGGATTAGGCACTCTTTCTCACTTTTTCATTCGCTCTCCATCTCCTCCCTCAGTCAGAATGTGGTGGAACAGCCCCTTGTGACACAGCCAGACAGCTTTATCTTCATCAGTAGCCCCCAACGCCTCCACGCAGCCCCCGCTCCCGCCCCCGCGCTGGGCCGAGAAGGAAAAGAGGGAGGGCACAGGTGTGGAAAAAGAGAGCCGTTTGAGAAGTGAGAAGTAAAAATACAGAGAGACAAGGTTATTGTAGTCAAATAAAACTAAAGTAAAACTAAAACCATTGTAAAGCGTTTTTGTTACTTGAAGTCAAACAAACATTAACTTAAATATATAAATACATATAAATGTAAACTTATTATATTTGAAGCAAGTTGCTGAGGAACTAATTATTTTCATTTAGTTTAACTTGATGTTTTTTCCTCTATATTTCAATTACCGCATAGTTATTTTTTATTTGGTGTCTGTTCTCTTTATTATTAGTGTTATATTTAATTTTATTACCTTAAATTATATGCATGTCTGCACTATGTCTGTACTTTCTGCACTAGAAGCTCCTGTCACCAAGACAAATTCCTTGTGTGTAAACACTTGGCAATAATGATCTTTCTGATTCTGATGTAAAAAATAATATAGACATATTAAACAAAAATGACAAACATATTAAACAAATGACATAACAAAATTATTTAAAATTGAAACTAAAACTGCAAACTGAAAATAAAAATCTAACTTTTAATAAAAATTATATTAAAATAACACTAGAGACAGAAGCATGAAATCAGATGCATTTCGTGGCAAATTACACCACTTTACTTTGATTGGAACAAAAGAAAGTGAAATCTCAACATTTCTGTCTTTTCGCTGACAAAAACACTTCTGTCTTGTTGTGTTCTCGGTGGTTGTCCCGAGGCTGCTGCTTCAACAGGTACTAGAAATCTGAAGATCTTGTCTGATGTAGAAACACATCAAATATTTGAGCCAGCTAAATTGATTTTTCTTTCTAAAATTCGCTATCACTTACGTATTTTCAAAGAACCAAAGGGCCTCTCATAGTCACCCACACAGCTCTCCATTGATTAAACCCAAGAGACACAACAGGAGAGAAAACATCTCACCAGCAGACCTTAAAGATTAGAGAGAGAGAGAGAGCAAGAGCAGATAAAAGAAGAAAGTGCAGGAGGGAAAAAAAAACACCAGCTGATGTTAACGAGCTGGGACACTTTTATTATCATTATTAATTAGAGCTTTTCAAGCAACAGAATTAAATCAATACGCTGGAGTGAAACAAATTTCAGAAGGCCGCTCAGATCAATCAGGAAGGGTTTTTATCTGCGTAACTGCCACTGAGCTAAGCTCGTTAGTGAAACAGTCGTTAACATAGTTATTTTTGCTTTAAATAAGGTCTTTATGATATCAACATTTTCGATACCATAGAAATGTTTGAATTCTAGTCACCAGTGTCAATATCACAAAAAATTAATACTAGCCTAAATTAAAAAAATAAAACTCAAGCTCACTGAAGACAAGTAAACAGTCAGCGATTAAATAAGAATAAGAAACAAATTCCAAGCAACTGGACAAACAACTACACTATCACAAATAAATAAGAAATGTGATGCATTTCGTGGCAAATTACACCACTTTACTTTGATTGGAACAAAAGAAAGTGAAACCCTAACATTTCTGTCTTTTCGCTGACAAAAACACTTTTGTCTTCTTGTGTTTTCAGCGGTTGTCCTGAGGTTGCTGCTTCAACAGGTACTAGAAATCTCAAGATCTTTTCTGATGTAGAAACAGATCAAATATTTGAGGCAGCTAAATTGATTTTTTCTTTCTAAAATTCGCTATCACTTGCATATTTTCAGAGAACTAAAGGGCCTCTCATAATCACCCACGCAGCTCTCCATTGATTAAACATGAGAGACACAACAGGAGAGAAAACATCTCACCAGCAGACCTTAAAGATTAGAGAGAGAGAGAGAGCAAGAGCAGATAAAAGAAGAAAGTGCAGGAGGGAAAAAAAAACACCAGCTGATGTTAACGAGCTGGGACACTTTTATTATCATTATTAATTAGAGCTTTTCAAGCAACAGAATTAAATCAATACGCTGGAGTGAAACAAATTTCAGAAGGCCGCTCAGATCAATCAGGAAGGGTTTTTATCTGCGTAACTGCCACTGAGCTAAGCTCGTTAGTGAAACAGTCGTTAACAAGGCACTTGCGGCAAGAGGATAGATCTGAGCTATTTCTAATTAGGAGGACATAAACCCAGCAACCATTTCTCCTCTCTGATTAACTGTTAAGTTCATTTGTGATTTTACCCCCTCCTACTATCCTCTTTCTTTGTCTGTCACAAACACACAGACACAATCCCAATTTCTCATGTAGATCTATTTTCTCTTCTCGTCGGCTTCTCGCTTTCTCTCTCAGCCTAACCATTAAACAGGATTAAATGCTTGCAGAGATTCTTGCCTTGTGTTAAATGATTGCGTCCTTATAAGGGTAAATGAGACCATTTATCATGAGCCCGTCCTCTGGGTGCGCTGCAGGTCGTTAGCCATCTACCGTCATGAAATAATTAGTTTTACTATTAATGTAGCAAAGCTCAATGATCATGAGTGGCCACATGTCCCCTTACACTGGGATTAATTGTATTAATGTGCTCAGATGCTCACTAAAGGCCTTTAAAAAAGGATGAAATGTTAGCAGGGCTCTGAAACATGGAACAGTCTTGAGCAGATAATAGCACAGAAAGATTCAGCGCTGCTTCCCTTTTATATCGTCTTTAATACCAATAGATTATAATAGTGCATACTGATGATAATGGCTGAAATGGCTATATTATGAATACAGCACTTACGTGGCACGCATAGTTCTAATATAACATTGTAAAACAGATGTAGTGCTGACTCAAAATTGGATTTGATATTATAAAACATTTTTTTCTGATTGGAAAGTGCCATGTTATGTTGTGTTATATTAATAAGAAATTGCCGTTGCTCTTATTATTACTACTACTAATAGTAGGGGTGGGCAATATGACCAAAATCTTGTATCAAGATATGAGTAATTTTATTTCACAGTAATTTAATCAAATGTATAAAAACACTGCATATTCTTCACTGTGTAAATTAGTCAAGAGTAGTGAGAGATTTTCTCTCGTCTATTGTTTGATTAACACGAATGACAGACAGCAGGCATGTTAGACTGAGAGCTGCCCGGATCCAACATACTGTTACATGTTTTATTTCTCAGCTGTTTGCTTTCACTTAAGACCTAAATTACTGTGTTTACGAGGATACTTGCAAAGACGGGAATTTTGACACATACAAGTGTATTTAACCATTAAAGTTCTATAAAGCAGCAAAAATAACCCGCGCCCTATGAGCACCTTCTTCAATTACTTGTTTTTAAATCGCAATGCTTAAAAATGTGCGCAAATGATAAGTTTTCGTGACTACGAGGCACAGCAATGTCACGTGAGCGTGTAACCGCGATAGAGATGATAGTCCAAAATCTCTTATCAGTTGACAAATTTTTACTGGTTAATCATGTCTACTGGTATACCACCCACCCCAAATAGGAATAATAAAAATGTCTTATTGATATAACATGATATAAAATACAACATGGCACTTTCCAACATGTCAGAGAATACCAATTACCCATAAAAACATCTCACTCATATCTTATAACATTGTATGAATGTTTGCCATTTCTAATTTCAAGCCAGTTCTAAGAATGATTGAAAACAATACTAAAACATAAACTGATTCCCCAGTAGTTATCATTTTTACATGTTTTAATTAGAGAGAAATAACAGGGAATGAGTGACACCATAAGTGATCATTGTTGATGACCCAGTTCTTGAGGCAGTGTTATTAACCTAATGAAGAACAATGCTTGACTTGAAGTCCACAGCTGTTCCAGCCTCACAAACACCAGCAGGATGAGATGGAAAAAATTCCTCACAATGTCAGAGGTGACACTGTGTGTATGAGCAACCACAGAGGGGTAATGTTAGCAGAGACATAAAGGCTAAATGCTATTGGTGACGCTGGCTTTTTCCTATGAGCATTGTGATTAACCTACTGCTCCAGGTCTGCCTCTTGACCCTCTCTACACGCTGACCTCTACATCCTAGTACTCTTTCACAGCGTCTCTCTCTGCGGGCTGTAGCTGTAGTCATAGTAGGCCGCATCTGGGGCCTGTAATCAACGTCACGACACATTAGAAACAGTGACAGAATCCCCCCGTACTCAGTTGGAGTTTTACTATGGGTCAGAAACAGAGCCAAACTCCCTTCAGTATAGGATGTCTGTTTTTGTCCTTCATTCGTCTATTGTTTTAGGGTGTGATCTAGTTTCAAACAATATCTGTTTATCTAAATGTCTATTTTATCCAAGCCCAATTTTTATACATAAAAAATATTCAAACATGAGTGCTGCTTGCATGTGCACAGTTCTAGTGTGTTTTAGTAAGTCAACAGGACGTTGCTATGCAGTCTGCACTTATTGTAAGTGCATGGAAAGGCATTACTCTGTGATTGCTAGGATGCTGCCAATGATTGCTTACCAGGCCAAGTTAAAGAGCTCACCCAGATATCTCTATAATGTTTTGTTTACATCCAAGTTATACATACCGAATGCCTAGGTTAGGGGTTTAGAATAAATAACTAAAGTAAGCATGAAATGGAAAGTCACCCTATCTGTTTTCTAAATTGATTTTATTGTGAACAATTCATCCATGCAATGATAGATTTCTCTCTGGTGATGTTTGCCAGACTTCTCCAATTATTTAGTCCACTTAAACCATGCAAGCTCATAGTCTGATCTGTCTCCATTCAATCAACAACTGATGGATAGAAGTTTCCACCTTACATTGTTTTTCTTTTTCATAATCAGTTTCACTCACATGTACAGTGCACAAAACAAAAGAGATCTGTTGCTACTTCTGTTTCATCTTGACTTTAAAGGGATAGCTCACCCAAAAATTTACTCAATATCAAAATTGAGTATCAATTCTGTATCAATTTCCAAACCTGTATCAATTTCTGAACACAAAAGAAGATATTTTGGAGAATTTGAGTGACCGAACTGTTTTTGTTCCCCAGTAACTTACATAGTATTTTTTCCAAACTACGGAAGTAAATGAAGACCAGTTTGGTTACCCACATTTTCCAAAATGTCTCAGTTTATGTTCAACAGAAAAAACAAACTCATAAAGGTTTGGAATAACTTTAAGGTGAGTAAATGATGACAGAAATGTTATTTTTGGGTGAACTATAACTTGGGCAAAAATACTGATTATTATTTAATTGCTCCAATACCAAACAATCCATTTAGCTAACTTTTCAGAGACATAACTTTGGAACTGTGAACAATTTTTAGTGCAAAAAAACTGTCAAACATATGAGTAATTAAATATCAAATTGTTAATAATATATACTTTTGTGTTGTTTGTAGTTCTGTTAAGCCTCAGGTCCTCGATGAGTCAAAGCAAAGTGTTAACTAATGTAGTAAACTTAGTGTGAATCATTACTTGAAGTCAGTGATCCAGAATCACACTCCAGCAGATGAGACCAATTTGGAAAAATTCTTACCCATTACTGATGCATTTTCTTATTCTTTTTCTCCTTCTTCTTTGTTCCAGATCCTACTGTCTGATTGTTGCCTAATGAATAGGCCATGTCTGAGTGCAAAAATCCTGCTGTACCCTAAGACAGATCGAACATCTGGACCCAAAAGAAAGATATAACACCAGTGTCATCACAGGCTGTGACTGCTTAACCAATCCATCTGCATTACGCGCAGCACATGTGCGAGGGAGCTGAAGTGTGCCGTTTTCAAAAGTCTGGTTCATGTGAATAAAATACACTCGCATTTTTTGGGGGGGGTTCATGTGTGCGTGCACACACATGTGTGTGCAGTTGCAACACTCTGTGGCAATGTGCAATGTGCAATGTGCAACAAAGCCACTACATCACTGTAATTAGTTTTGTCATTCTCTCTCCCTCACTCACTCACCAGCTCTAATGTAATACAGAGCTCAGGCCAGGCCAGCAAGGCCATTAATGAGTCACACTGACACAGCCTCCAGGACCCCAGTGCTTTTTACTGTCTA